CCTGGGCTTTCTCCCACCAGCTGCTACCGTGGCTGGTGCTGGTGGCTCTCCTCTTAGGACAATTTTGGGAGCCCTTTCACCCCCTACTGTGACTTCCCCGGCCTAAGTGGGCAGCAGGCGGCGTCATCTGAACTCCGTGATAACAGTCTCCTCCAGGCTGGCAGGGCCGGGCCGGTGGCCCAAGGGGCACTCCTGGCTGTAGAGCCCTGCCGGCCCGGCCCCCCACACTCCCTCCCCCAGCTCGGGCACGTTACCTGCTGTGCCAATGAGTTTCTTGGATTTGTTGAAGATCTGATCACCTGGGTTAGGAGGTGGTGCTACGTCCTGGCCCTGCCGCGCCAGCAGAGGGTTGTAATCCTTTCCATCATAGTTTGCGTCAAAGAATTTCTTAAACCACTGAATAAACTCAAAATTATCTTGGAATTTTCCTTTCACTAATTTCTCTACAGGAATGATCTGAAATAGACCACATAAGCAGAGCACTTTAGCCACCTGCTGCCGTGGGGCCGCCTTCCTCTGTGGGAGGGCCCCTGCTCTCAGGAAAGCCCGCCCCGGGGCTGCAGCATGCTCCACCTTCTCCACCTGCCCCCCTCCCGTGGCTCCAGAGCAGGCAGGTAGGTCAGCAGATGCCAGCCTGGGATCCAGACAGTTCTCTCCTGTAGGCACAGGAAGACCTGGATGGAGAGGCGTCCCTTGGTCTGCTGCCTGTATGTGGGCTGGGGGTTAGGACCCACGTCCCTGGGGCCATCGAGGCAGGAGTGGGAGGGAAGAGACATTTCTTGGGCCCTACAGAGAGACAAAACTTAACAGGAGCAGCATCCAAGCCTCCGTGTCTGGAATGGGGAGGGTCCCCAGAGAAAGGAAGGGAAAGAAATGTCACGATGGATGGGGTTTTCCACTGTGCCTTCAGCTGGGGGAACATTCGCTCTGGAGGATGAGGGTGGGGCTGAGAGAGGCCTGAGGGCTGGCCCGACTCCAGCAGCCCCCCGTTGCCCCTGCTGGTGGGCCATCTTCTTCCCCTGGGTCACACAGCTCCTCAGGACCCCCCGGGGTGCGGGCACCTACTTTGTCGACACCCATCTTCTTGAAAGCTGCTTGCAGCACCTTGAAGTTGTGGATGTATTCATGCTCTAGTTTGGCCTGGAACTTCACCTTCCTCAAGTGCACACAGCCAGGGAAGAGCATGTCCATGAACTGGCAGTAGGCGGCCCCTGTGGAGAAGCGCGGCTGACAGGTCCTGGACGCCCGCCGCGGCCCTGGGCTGCTCCAATCCCTCCCTGAGGCCGTCAGCTGGACGATTTCCCCAAACCCAGTCTCCTCTTCCCCCTCCTTGCCCTGGAGCTGGGACTAGTCCTACTTTCAGGGTTGACATGGCCAGGATCCCCCCGCTTTCCAGGAAAATGAGCAATGGCCATTTGTCGGGACATCTTATGCACAAGTACCACATCTAACACTGCACATGTGCGGTCTGACCCTACCAGCACAGCACCTGGGTGGATAGGTGATACGCTTTTGTCTCATGGATAGGAAAGCTGAGACCAGAGAGGTGTAGCGACTTGCTCAGGGTTGCATCAGCAGGAGAGCTGAGAGGTGGGCCCAGAGCAGGTAGACCCGACTGCACGCTGTTACCCTCACCTTTGGATATACCCTATACTCTGGCTTTGGATAGTTCACGAGTGCCTCACCTGCTCTCACTCTCCCTGCCTCCATGTTCTGACTTCACCTCCAGAGTCTGCCTAGTTATAGCTCTCCGGCTCACCTCTCTAATCCTAATTACAAGCTACCCTTCTCACAGCGCTGCAATGCCTGCCCCCTCCCCTCCCTTTCCCTCCAGCAGGGCACCTCCCCCATGCCCAGGCTCCTACCTGAACAGAGCTGTTCTATCTTGGTGTAGTTGAGGTGCAGGGAGTCATTGACCCATGCGAGCATATCATGGCGACTCAGATTTTCACTGGTCACGGATGTGGAGTACACATTGACGGCCATACCCCAGCTGCAAAGAAATCAGACAGGTTAACACTGGGGGAGTGGGGGGATACATGCTGGTCTTTAACTGTCCATTGGAGGGGAGCCTGGACAACCCCTGGGGAAATGAGAAGCATTTCTTTCCAGACCAGCCTTGCAGTTCACCTCCTAGAGGAGGATACTTATACATTCTTTACACACTTAATGAGTGTCTCCTCTATGCGAGATGTGTGCTGTGTGCTGGGAACTGGTGATACAAGGGCACTTAAGTAAGACAGGGTTTGAGCCTGCGAGGAGTTTGCAGACAGGCACGTCCCCCCGGCAGGGAGTGGTGCAGGAGGAAGCGTGGCACACAGACTCTCAGGGATGGCACAGAGAGGGGCGTGATCTCTCCTGCCTAGCAGGGTCAGCAAAGGCTTCAGAGCTGATGTTGGAGCCTGAAGAAGTAGGAATTTTCCAGACATACAAAGGAATTGGATAGGAAAGCACTGCAGGCACAGGACTAGCAAGAACAAAAGCTTGGCTTATTCCGGGAACTCAGACTTGTTCCGCAGCCCCGGGAGCAGGTTTTAGTGTTGGGGCACAGTGCAGTAAGGGTGGCAGGGACAGATCATAGATCACAGAGGGCACTGTTTACCACAAAGAGGAGTATGGGCTTTCTATTTACAATGGGAAACCATTTGAAGATCTCTCTCTCTCTCTCTCTCTTTTTTTTTTTGTTAGAGAGAATTTTGCTATAGGGTGCGTGCTCTTGCTGAAGAGACAGAAAACAAGAAATCATCCCCAAGTATGCTGCAATTCCTTCTCCTCCATTCTCCTCTTGGAATTTTGGGGTTGCATGCACATGCAACCAACATGAGTTTTAAGCTGCCTGGTCTGAGACTCGAACCACAGTCGACTATTTGGGAGTCAAGCGAGGTAACCATTACACTATTTGCTGGTCCCCACTTGAAGATCTTAAGCAGAGAGTAACCTGAGCAGACTGGTGTTTGAAAATGCCAACTGACCTCTGCCTCTTCTAACTTTGGACAGCATATTCCTGTGTCCTGTGTCCTGCTGGTTGACCAAGAGGTACCTAAATTTCCCTAGTTTAGAACTTTCCCTTAAAATGTGCTTCTGCTCCTAAATTCATGATCCTAGTGAGTTCAGTACTGGCTATCAATCTCCCAAGCTATAAACCTGTGGGGTAACCCTAGGTGGCCTACTCTCCCTCATGCTCACATCTGACCTTTCCTTGAGTCCTGCTACGCTTCTTCTTCCCTGCTACCCTTGGGATTTAAGCACTCTCTCTAGCCAGGTCCTGCAGAACCTCCGGAAAGGCCTTCTAGCCTCCAGCCTCCAGCTTCCAGCCCCTCCCTCTTCCAGTCCATCCTAAACAACTGGAGTGGAAAGTAGGCCTGGCCACCCACTGGCCAGCTCCAAGTGCTTTTGGCCGGCTGTCATAAATGAAATGCTCATTGGCCAAATTTGCTTGCAGGCTTAAACTGTTGAGCACTCACTGGGTTGGAAGTGTTCCTAAGTGTCCAACAGTTTAAAGTTGGGATGGTTCACACAAACAATCTGAGGTTTCTGGCTTCTTTTGGTGACTCTGGGCCTAAGTTCCTGCCCTGCAACCAATAGCAGGAGCTGAGCAGGGGTGCCCTCCCCTGGCCACAGGCATGAACACCTCCTTACCACCCCCAGCCCCACTCAGAGGCCAAGTACCAACTATTTATCACTGACTTGCCCTGTAAAGAGAAGGACAGGGGCCTGCAGGTGGCGTGGTGGTTAAGGGCGCTGGACTCCCCATGGCCGACCGTGGTCTGAGTTCCAGACCTGGTGGTTGCTTTCTCACTTTTTCTTTCTCTGTCTCTCTTTCTCTCTGTCACTCTAAAATAAGCAAATAAATAAAGTTAAATAAAAATAATTATTATTTTTAAAAAGATGAGGCCATATGTCTTGGTACTGGGTATTTATCAGAAATGGAAAAACAGAAGATAGACCAAAGGGACCGTGTGCGCTGAGAACTGTGGGTATTCATATTTCTGGAGTGAAGAACCTTTCTCCGGGTTAAATACGCAATGTCTCGGTGAAGTTAAGTGTCCCCAGCCACTTCCCTGACCCCACAGACATGTTACAAGATGACCCTTCCCTACCACTTACACAGTCCTGAATGGACCCCATCTCACCAGAAATAGACCCCATTTCCCACTTTGTTCCCCAGTTAGGAGCCTTCAGCAGCTCCCACTCACTGACTACAGACTGCCATCCCCACCCCAGCATCCACTCATGCTCTGCTCCCGTGGTTCTCAAACTGTGGTCCCTGGGCCAGCCGCATCGGGCTATTTGGTATCAGTTGATAGAAATTCCAATTCTCGTGCCCTACCCCACACCTATGGACTCTGTCCTGGCCCAACATGCCCAGAGGATCTGCAGGGACAGTCAAATCTGAGCAGCTCTGCTTTGGATGATGAGCAGCACCTGCTGGGCTGTGCTCCCTGGAAGCCCCACCCTGACCCCAAGCATATACGTCATTATATGCTCAGTTAACTTAGAGGAACTTGTTTGAAAGAAAATCATGAGAGAAGACACTCATATATTCCTAGTCCTTTATCCTTTTTTTTTTTTAAAAAAAATGGTACCAGCAGATGGTGTAATGGTTATATCACTGGACTCCCACATAGTCCAGTTCGAGTCCAGGATCTGGTGGCTTAAAATTCACGCTGGGTGCATGTGCATTTTTTCCCCCAAATCCTGAGAGGTGACTGGATGAGAAGGGATTGAGGGTTGGCCATCCTCCCTGGGGTGTGATTTCTCGCTGTCTCTCTGGAGAGTGCATGTGCCCTATAATAAAAATCTCTCAAAATAAAATAAAGTAAAATACAACAAAATGAAATAAAATAAAATAAACCCTGTCTATCATTGCCCAGAAAAGGGAGCCTAGGCAGTGCCAAAAAGCTAAGAGAAACAGTAATTGTTGCCTTGGAGGCTTCTAAGGACTCAGGACCTGTGAGTTCAGAGATTGGGAGGCTAATTTTGACTGCACTTGGGTCTGCTCTTGGGTGATGGCTTTGAGCCCACTGCCCTGAATCCCGACACACACACTCACCACCAGGCTTGTCTGTTAGCGTACCTGTGGGGCTTCCAGGCCTATTACAGGCAATGCGCTCAGCAATTAGTGAAGGACTGAGTGACACCTCTTGTGCTCTCCTCTCTCTGAATTGTCTCTCATCACCTTTTAGCCTGGGCATCCCCCTCCCTCACTCAGCCTTCAGGACCCAGCTTCTGCACTGTCTTCAGGAAACTTCCTCTGGAAGTAGACATGCCATCCTCTGTTCCCATGACACCCTAAGCACTCAGCACATCTCTGGAAGACACATGTATGCCTGTTCCTTTTACCTGCCTGTAGCTCTTTAGTGGCCAGGATCTGTTTCACTTTTGGGTACCAGACCAGTTCTAGGTGAGGAGTAACTGCCGAACCACATTAGTGGAGTGGAACTGCAGAGGCTGGAGTTAGGAGAGTGAGTTGCTGAAGGACTCACCTAAAGTGACAGAAGTGGCCGTGGAAGGCTTAATTTCCAGAGGCAGGAGATTTCCAGAGGCTTGGAGACATTTCTCCATGAGGCCTTTGGGCCATTTTGTCTCCAGGTCTCTGGGCCAGGGTGATTACAGGTCAGTTGTGGCTAACACTAGGTTAGACCTCAGAAGGACTGGGCTGGTCAGGGGTGGTCCTGGGGGTGCAGGGAAGTCTTAGGTTGGCCCGGGGAGTTCCTGGGCCACTTTAGGCAGTTCTGTTTAATGCTCCTTTCTGGGCCTAGCACTCAATCGAGCTGTCACCCTGTATGGGACCTTTGTGGAAGGAGGCAACTGACACTGGAAACAGAGCCTTTGTTTCCACTCAGGGCTGGCTGCAGCTTTCAGGTGGTGGTGCCCTCTGCTCTGATCGGGGTTCATTTTATCCCAGGAAGATGCATCCTAGGCCCTCAGGGCCTTGCAAGGACTCTGTCACACTTGCTAGAGCACATCTCTCATGGAGACACCAGCCTCTTCTTTCCTTATCCCTCACCAAGCTGGACAGAGCAGGCTGTCCTTTTCATTCTCCTTTCATTTCCTGAGTTGGCCCTCTAAATAAAACTGACCATGGCCAGCAGGTGGCACCCAGTACTGAGCAAAGACTCCTAAGTCCTTCCTCTTCCCCAGGGCCCCCTTCCCTTAGCTCAACTGAGAGTAGAGAGAGCCCTTGACTGGTCTCTCCAGAGAGAAGCCAGGTTCAGTCAATCCTGGTGGTGTCAGGGCAGGGGTTGAGCACCTGTTCCTGACCTAGATGTCTCCTAAGAGCTGAGCCTGTTGGAATAGCACGGAAGGGAAGACTGAAGGGGCTTTCCCATCCCTCAAAACCACATGTTGAACTCATAAACGGGTTAAACTTCTGATGGTCAGACAGCTGCTGGGGGCAGAGGTATATAAAGCACTCACCCAAGGAGCAGGCTGTAAGCGGACTAGCTGCCTCCAATTACAGCAGAGACCTTGTCTGAGAAAACTCCAAATGACAGCACACCTGTGATCAAGAGCACCATCACCTTCCCCACATGGTAGGTAACCACCCAGAGGGCTTTACCAGGTCCACCAACCCTGTCCTGTGTTCCTATCGTCTTTGGCACAGGGTGATGGTCAGGAGGAACAGTCCCTGATTGGGTTAATGCCTGTCACCCTCCAGGTTGGCTGGCAACCCTATTTGAGGATAAGACTGGTCTTGGGAAAGGCCAATTCTGCAAGGCCTTGACTCCTGCAACCATATCTGAAGCCAGGGGAAGGAAGAATTGAGAAGGTTTAATCTGGTGACTTTGCTAAATCACTTCCTAGAATGGGGCCATAAGGTTCACGGTGCATTCAGTGGCGATGGGAAAGGCAACCATGAAGCTCTCACTGAGAGAGGGAGCAAGTCAGTCTGTAGACCAAGGCCTCGAAAATGGTCAGCAAGACTAAATCTCCATAGCCTTAGTCAGAAGGGCTTCCGGAGACCATCCGGTTCCCTCCTGATACTGCAGAGCTAGGATGTGTTGCACTCAGAGCTAGGAAATTACAATCTTAAACCACAAAAATGAATGATAAGTCTGCCTAACTCTAAAATCCCACATTTTAACATTTAATAATCTTATCACTAGCCTAAGTCTAATTTCGTCCTTTTGTTTTTAAATCTTCAATGGGAATCTATCTTCTACAATATGTTTTGAAGACAATTCTGAAGCCCTCAGGCTTCTCTAATTTTTTTTTTTTTTTAAAGAAAGATTTTTTGGTATAGGGCAGGTGCACTCACTGGAGAGACAGAGCAAAACAGAGAGAAAAAGTGAGAAATTAGCCCCGGGGGAATGGCCACACTACAATCCCTTCTCCTCCATTCTCCTCTAGAGATTTTGGGCACACACACACATGCATCTGGTGTAAATTTCAAGCTGCCAGTCCTGGGACTCAAACCACAGCCAGCCATGTGAGAGTCTAGCGCCTTAACCACTACGCCACCTGCTGGCTCCAGTCTTCTCTAATCCTATAGGGCTCTCTTTACCCCAAGTTCAGCCCTGTTTTGGCCTGGCTCCTGAAGAACCACTGCAGTTCCCAAGCCTCCACTCTCTGCTCTACATTGCCATTAAAGACATGCCAAGTCTGGGGCCAGTAGATGGTGTAATGATACGACGTCACTTGACTCCCACACAGTTAACCGCAGTTCAAGTCCTGGACTCAATGGGTTCAAACTCATGCCAGGCAAACTCATGTCCTAGAGCAAAAAGTCTCTCCAAATAAAAAGAATACTGCATCTCTAGTCAGATTTCAGGCAACGTGGGTTCAAATCCTGGCTCTAGCATATCTGAGCTGTTTGACTCCAGGTTTCAGTTTCCTCGTCTGTAAAACAGACACTTCCCATCGCATGGAGCTATAATGAGGATTAACTGAGCCATGTGAGCAAAGTGCAGAACACAGAGCCTGGCACATGGGAAGTGTTCTGTAAGTGCTATCAGCGTCACTGGGGCAGTCGCCGAGGATCCAAGGCTTGTTTGAGAAGCAGACACCTGATACAAGTCAGCCTCTGCTGTCTGAGACCGTGGGACAGCCAGTCCAGAAGACAGACTGACTACAGAGCTGTGCTTTCTCTGCCCCTTCTGCCTGGAGACAGCCATCTGTGCTTCCTGAAGTTGGGCTTCTGACCACAGTCCCTCCCCAACTGCAGATTTCCCCAGTATTCCGCTTTGTGGATGCCATCCTACCAGCCAGGAAAACTGGAACAGATGCTGTGGGATCAGAGGAGAGAGAACTCTGTGGAGCCTGCCAAAACGTTCCTGCTCCCGACGTGGGGCTATGCCCATTGTCACTGGGCTACCCCTTCCTGCCCAGGCCCAGAGGGGCTGAAAATCTGCAAAATTTCTACCCCTTGCTCCCTTGGGTCACACATCCAGGTTATTCTGGGGTTGCATGGAGGCAATATGTGGAGGCAGGGATGAAGGGCTGGGGCTGGCAGAGCCCTCCAGCGGGTCACAAAGCCCTGGCACGCCCAGCCAATCACCTTCTTCTCCTAGCTGAACATGGACCTGACTCATAGAGCTGCTCAACTCTCAAGGCTGGATTAGTCCAAAGTAGAGATGGGCAAGTGGAGTAGCTCCAGGGCTGGCTGGGGCCAGCATGCACCCACTTCAGCAGGCCCAGGACTGGGATCTGATGGGCCTAGTTCAGGTAGGGCCTAGAGCTTCTCCAGGAGTCTGTTCCCATACCTTTGAGGTCATGCAGCTCTTCCCTGAGGCCTTGAGCTCTACTGAGGTCCCAGCCGCTGCAGCCCTGTAAATGTCCTGCTGCACAGTGATCTGATCCAGACCAGGCTTGATAATGCCGCTGCACCCCTCATAACTGCCGCCTGTGAGAAGAGGTCCTTGGGGAGTTTTGGCCATAGCTCAAAGGGCTACTGGAGGAAGCAGTTATAGAACTTGGCTCCCACCGTGCCAACTGCGGTTTGAGTCCTGAACCTGGTGGTTTGAAAATCATACTGAGCGCAAATGCAGGCATGCTCAAAGTCCTAGGAGGAGAATGGAGGAGAAAGAATAGTGGTGTGGCCATCTCCCCGGGAAGTGATTTCTTACTTTCCCTTTCACTGTCTCTGTTTCTTTCCAGTGAGCATGTGCACCCTATGGCAAAAACCTTATTTACTTAATTTTAGAGCGATTTTTGCTATAAGGTGCATGTACTCACTGGAGAGAGAGACAAAGAGAGAGAGACAGAGAGATAGATAGACAGAAAGCAAGAAATCACTTCCCAGGGTGAATGGCCATGCTGGAATCCTTTTTCCTCTACTCTCCTCTTGGGATTTTGGACATACACACACATGTGCCTGCTGTGAGTTTTAAGCTGCCAGATCTGGGGCTTGAACTGTGGTTGACTATGTGGGAGTCTAGCGATATAACCGTTACGCCATTTGCTGGTCCCAGCAAAAATCTTAAAGAAAAAAAGGGTTAATGGACCTATAAGTATAGTAAACAACTCCTCATTGCTAAAATTAATCCATTTTAGTGGGGTCTATCTAGGTGGGTTCTTCATTGAATATATTTAAGTTTCTTAAGCACCTGGTTTTTAAGTCAAGACTTTTCTACAGAGCCACTCATCAAACCAAGACCCCAGCAGCAGATTTTCCCAGAGCCTGGGTAGTGCACTGAAGAGAGGAGTTACGGCAGAACGTGGGGCTGGGCTGCAGGCTTCACACGTAATGCCTTGGAGAGGGGCAAGAAGTGGACAGTGGTCAAGGCCCAGTTTTCATGTCTGAAGAATCAGAATGTCATTAAGTGTGAGGTTGTAAGGATAATGAGAGACACTGCATATGGGAACCGTCACCCTGCCATGGACCTAAGCAACCTCTGCAACACAGACTCGTGGACTCATTCAACTTATGCACTCCCCAGTCCCTGGACTGACTCTCCCATAGACCCTCTAATCAGGGCTCTGAATAGGGCGAGATCTGGGCCAGGTGTGGGTTTCGGTTCTCTGCTGCCTGGTCTTCATGGCCCTCAGGCAGAAAGACTAGTCCTCCTAGACCGATGTTCCTCACTTCTTTCTTCAGTTAGTCCTGGCTCAGGACTCTGCACACAACACTTGTATTCATATTTGTTCGATGAATAAATGAATGAATGAAGGGGGGAGGTTAAACCACAACATGGGGGTTCAGATGGCAGGTGGGCTCAGAAGGGTGGTCTCCTGGTCTCGTTTCCTGTTTGTTGACCCCAAGGAGGTGCTGTTGGCTACACGAAGAGAAAGGTGGAGAGCAGAATGCCAGCTTCGCTCCCCAGCCGCACACAACCAGACACAGCACACATCGGTGAGACATTAAGAGATTAAAAAAAAAAAATCTTTCTCTGAAGCATGTAACATGGTGCTACTGGATTCCTGACCCCAAGATCAGGTTTTGGAAAGTCTTGAGCATGGAAACTGGTTCCCTGCCAGGCGCACCTGTCCTGTGGGTGGGTTGCTGGCTCTTTTGCTGTTAGCCTGAGGACAGAGAGGAAGCCGAGGTGTGGCAGCGCCGGGATGTGCCGAGAAGAGAACGATCACGTCTCTTGCAGCCCTTATTGGTCTGGTGTTCCCTTAATGACTCTTTATGTTCCAAAAGCCCGTCTGTGTCTCTGGGGCACATGCCAGCCAGGTCACTTTACATTCCTTTAATAGTATATTTCTTTAGAATGTCTGGTCTATAGCTGTGGTCTGTCTCACCTCTCTGAAAAACTTGGGTTCTTTTTTTGTTTTTTCAGAGAGGTTTTTGCTATAGGGTGCGCAAAAACCTTGCCAGACAGACAGAGAGAGACAGAGAGACAGAAAGAGAGAAATCACCCCCCAGGGGGGCTGGCCATACCGCAATCCCATCTCCTCCATTCTCCTCTCGGGATCTTGGGCACACACGCACACGCACCCGGCTTGAGTTTCAAGCCACCGGGTCTGGAACTCAAATTGTAGTTGACTACATGGGAGTCAAGCGACATAGCCATTACGCCAGCTGCTGGTCCCAAAACTTGGGTTCTTATGTAAATTCCTTACTGACCCCAGGTCCAGCTTCCCCTCTGCTCTCATTGTTCTTTCCACCCCCCATCCAGTCTCCTCTCAGAAGCCTCCTAGTTTTATTTCCTTATCCTTTTGACAGGGCATGGATTGCTCATTTATCCTCTAATCTTTCCACCAGAAAGTCTACCCTGAAGATGTCTAGAACAGGGTCAGCAAGGTAGTATGATGTTTAAGGTGGCAGGATCTCACATGGCTGACCATGCAGTTCAAGTCCCGAACCTGGTGACTTGAAAAACACTGGGTTCATGTGCATGTGTGCTTAAAAACCTGAGAGGAGAGTGGAAAAGAAGGGATTGCAGCATGGCCATCCCTCCTTGCAGGGGGTTCTTTCTCACTTTTTCCTCTTCTCTGTCTCGCTCTGGTGAGTACACATGCCCTATAGCAAAAAAAGAAAAAAGTCCAGAACAAACTTTCTAAGATTCACTTCAGCGTTTGATACTTTGTCCTCTCTGCAGCAGACTGTCATTCTTCATGCTCCCAGACTCCAGCCTACCTGACTGCTCTGCAAGTCTAATCCCAAGTGGAGACAACTAGCCTCCACCCCAGTGGTGAAAAGCGCTGGAGAGGCTTCTTCTTTGAAGAAGGCTTGCCTACCTTCAAATACCTTTGACAGAGACAAAGAAACACAGAGTGAGAAATCACCCCCCAGAAGAGATGGCCATACCACAGTCCCTTCCCTTCCATTTCCCTCTTGGGATTCTAGGCATGCACGCACATGTGCCCAGTGTGAGTATTAAGCCGTCGGATCCAGGACTCAATCAGTGGTTGACTGAGTGGGAGTCCAGGGATGTAACCATTATGCCATCTGCTGGGCCCAATTCATTCTGATTAAACCCTATGAGTATTAGGAGGAAGGAAAAGAGAAGTCAAGTTTTCTTCTTTACATTTCTCTTTCCAAGTTGCTGCGGCATTGCTTTAACTATTTACTGATCACTGACACAATGTGCTAACCACTACCTGAGGCCCTGTGAACACATGGGATCACTTCAAGGCCTGAGGCTTGTCTTCCAGGAGCCTCTGCTTGGTGGAAAAGGAAAGAATAACTGATACAACAATGAGGGATGTCCCACCCCAGAATGTGCAGTGCACATGAGGAATGAAAGCACATTTGGCTTTTAGGTGCTCTAGGAGCTTGTGAAGGAAGAGCAGGGGGTCGGCAGTTAGACAGCCTCTGGAGGAAGGTGGAACCTAACTTGGGCCTTTAAAGATGACAGAAAGTCAGAAAGCAGTGAAGAAAAAATGAGAAATTTGAGACATGGGAAATATGTTTATTATTACTTTTATTTTTAAAAGTGAGCACAAGCCCAATGACTAAATCTTGCAGGAATGTCAGGGGACACAATAAAAAGAGAGGAGACGGGAGAGGAAGGTGATGTCTCGGGAGCCAAGGGAGGGCCTGGTGTCAAAGAGGAGGTCGTCTGTCCTGTTTATTGAGCCACCAGACCTTAGACCGGGAAATGATTATTAGATTGTGCAATAAGAAATGATGAAGCTCTGAGTCACTGTGTGTAAGTGTGAGGACAAAAGCTAGATGCACAGACAATTGTTGAGTATCATTTTCCCAAGAGGATGCGGGGGAGGTTGTCAGCAAGGCCATTTACATAGGCTGCAGCTCTTCAGGTGGACGAATGAGCGACTGCCTGCAGGGTGGAGAACATCTTGATTTAAAAAAAATTAAAACAAAGTGCAGGGGCCAGCAGGTGGTATGGTGTTAAGGCCCTAGACTCCCACATGGCAAACCATGGTTCAAGTCCTGGACTTGGCAGCTTGCTTTCTCTCTTTCCGTCTCTCTCTGTGTCTCTTTCTGGTCACATGAAAATAATAATAATAATAAATAAAATTAAATAAATAATTATAAAAATATAGAGAAACAGATGCTTGTGCTCTTTATCTAACAGTCCACTCGTCCTTCAGAATCCACATCCTACCCCAAGATTCTCTATCTTCTTTGTCCAAGAGAACTCATGACTGCAACCTTCTGATATTTGTCAAGCTGGAAAACGTTATGTCATGAGTGAAAGGAAAGGGTGGGAAAAGTTTTAATGCAACAAAGTCTTTTTTTTGTAGAGGTTTTTGCTATAGGGCACGTGTGCTCACCAGAAAGACAGAGATGGAGACAGAAAGCGAGAAATTACCCCCACCCCACCGTGGGGATGGCTACGCCACAATCCATTCTCCTCCATTGTTCTCTTGGGATCATGGGCACGCCTGCACACACGCCTGGCGTGAGCCGGGGCTCAGGGACTTGAACCGCAGACGACTACATGGGAGTTCAGCAACATAGCCATTACGCTAACTGCTGCTACCTCCTTTAATCTTTAGTTTTGTTTAAAATTACTGTATCCCAGCAGGAAAGAACAGACAATGCTGGTTCCTAAGGACTTTGCAGAGCCTCATATTCACTCACTTATCACATTTGGAGTGTGTGCTCCAGGTGCCCAAGGCTGTGTGCCAGGTGTGGAGCCTACAGGAAGGCAAGGAACCCAGTCTGGGCCCTGGAGGAATTCACAAGCCACAACAGGAGCAGGACAGGTGAACATAGAAAGGACAAACAAGTCACACTCTAGCCCCAGGTACAGGAAGAGCACGCCGTTGGGACAAACCTGCTTCCTGGGTCAGGGAAAGCTTCATAGAGGAAGCATACTTTGAACTGGGTCTTGAAGGAGAAGCTTATTGAGCAAAGAAGAATCAAGAAGAAAGGAGAAAGTATAGACAGGAGGGAAAGGACTGGATTGGTTCATCAGTAGCACATTGGGGCAGAAGGAGAGGTGGTTAAAAAGACAGGCAGTGGGCTGGTAGGTGGCGTGGTTAAGGCGCTGGATTCTCACATAGCTGACCTCAGTTTGAATCCCGGACCTGGTGACTTGCTTTCTCAGTTTGTCTCTCTCTGGTCAAATTAAAAAATAAAAATAAATTAAATAATTCTTGGGGCTGGCAGGTAGTATGGTGGTTAAGGGTGCTGCACTCCCACTCCCACATGGCCAACCAAGGTTTGAGTCTCAGACCTAGTGGCTTATTTTCTCACGTTCCCTCTCTATCTCTCTCTTACTCTGATTCTCTCTGGTCACATTAAAATAAATAAATAAATAAAGTAAAATAAAATAATTCTTTAAAAAAGTTAAATAATTCTTTTTTTTTTTTTTAAAAGGTAGACAGAAGATGGGGTTGGATAGTGGCCCAGCACTAAAGTGCAATGTTCTGAAGGGTTGACCCACAGGGAGAGGTTCCAGGTTCAAGGCTGGAGCTCTTGCTTGGTACATGGGCCAGGCACACACTGTACACATGTACACAATATGGAGCTGGGAGTGGATCTTGGGTGAAGACTTTGTGGGAAACTGTCTCCCTATTTTTTTGTTTTTGTTTTAATTTGCTATAGGGCATGTACACTCACTGGAGAGAGAGAAAGGGAGAGAAAGGCAGAAATTGAGAAATCACCCCCAGAGGAATGGACACACCACTATCCCTTCTCCATTCTCCTCTAGAGATTTTGGGCATGCATGCGCATGTGCTGGTGTGTTTTTCAAGCTGCTGGGTCTGGGACTTGAACCACACAGTTGGCCTTGTGGGATCCAGCCACCTTAACCACCACGCCACCTAGCTGGCCTGAGTCTCCCTGTTTCTCTCTCTGTCTCTCTTACTCATGGAAGAAATGAACTTAAAAAACATATATATACAACAGACCAGGAGTTCTGTAGTCTATAGTTACGGAGTTACCTTGAGGAGAAACTCACCAGAGGATTTCTTTTTCTTTTTTTTTTCGGGGGTGGGGGGAGAGATTTTTACTATAGGGTGTGTGTGCTTGCCGGAGACATAGAGAGAGACAGAGAGATAGAAAGCAAGAAATCACCCCCCAGGGGGTACGGCCATGCTGCCATCCCTTGTTCTACATTCACCTCTTGGGATCTTGGGCATGCATGCTCACGGGCCGAGCATGAGTTTTGACTATGCCTTCTGCTGGTCCCAAGAGGATTTATTTTTTGTATACACAATATATTTGTAACAATGCAAAATGTTGGTAATAATACTATATAATAGAGTAATTTCCAAATCAGGGACCAGCAGGTGGCATGGTGGTAAAAGTGCTGGACACTTCCACATGGCTGACCATGGTTCAAGTCCCTGACCTGGTGGCTTGCTTTCTCACCTCTTTCTTTCTTTCTCTCTCTCTCTCTCTCTCTCTCTCTCTCTCTCTCTCTCTCTCTCTCTCTCTCTCTCTCTCTCTCTCTCTCTCTCTCTCTCTCTCTCTCTCTCTCTCTCTCTCTCTCTCTCTCTCTCTCTCTCTCTCTCTCTCTCTCTCATCAAATTAAAGTAAATGAATGAATAAATAAAATTAAATAATTCTTTCAAAAAAGTACAACAAATGAAATTACAGTATTTAGAAACTGTATTCAATTTGTAATTCTTCAGTGGTGTTATTTTATATATTCTAGTAAACACTGAAAAGATTCTCAAGCAGAAATTAGTACCTCTCCAATTTCTGTAAGCTTAAAATTTTGTTTTCTTTGTTCATGACAGATCGCATATTCCAGCACCTGAGAGTGAAAGAAAGAGAGATATGGGCACCCTTCGTAAGTCTGGCCATGCCATGATCTCCTTCCAGCCTGTCAGATCTTGGGCACACGCCTACGTGCCTGGAGTATTTGGGGGCTGACTGGGCTGGGGATTCAAACCACAGTCACTATGTAGGATCTAGTTTCTCTCTCACTCTCTTTTCTTTTTTTTTTTTTAAATTGTGAATTTTACTCCTTTTTAAAAATTGGATGAGAGAGAGAGAGAGAGCACCACCAGGTCTGAGATTTGAACTATAGTTAGTCATGTGGGAGTCCAGCACCTTAACCACCATGCCACCTGCCGTTCCCCCAAAAATGTGGTTTCTCTTGAGTAGTGCATTATCACTGCTCCATGGAGCTGGCCCCTGTAAACTTTTATTTTAAAATAATTTTAGGCTCATAGTTGTAAAACAGACCAAAGAATTCCATTCCCATGTATCCCCATCTAGTTTCCTCTCATAACATCTTACATAACAATGATTAAAACCAGGAAGTTCACATTGGTACATTATTAACTAAACTAGAGACCATGCTTAGATTTCATCAGTTTTTATATACACTCTTTAGTATGTTTGTGTAGTCTATGAAATTTTATCCCATATAGTCACCACCCTAGAAGAATGCAAAACTATTCTATAACCTCAAAGAACTCCCTCATGTTACCCCTGGATAGCTGTGCCCTTCCCTCAACTCTAACCCCTGGCAACCACAGATCTGTTCCTCATCAATTTTTTTTTTTTTGGAGAGGTTTTTGCTATAGGGCATGTGCACGCACCAGAAAGACAGAGAGAGACAGAGAAACAGAAAGTGAGAAATCATCTCCCAGGGGGGATGGCCACGCCACAATCCCTTCTCCTCTATTCTTCCCTTGGGATCTTGGGCACGCACACACACGCGCTTGGCATGAGTTTAAGCCACTGGGTCTGGGACTCGAATTGAGGTCGACTACATGGGAGTCCAGCGACACAATCATTGTGCCAAATGTTGGTCCCTGTTCCTCATCAATTTATAATTTTGTCATTTTGCGAATGTTACATAAATGGAATCACATAGTAACTTGAGGTTGGCTTTTTATTTTTCTTCTCAGCATAAAACCTTTGACT